GTCCAGTAGGCAGATCGGTCTGTAGGTTGAAGGACCTATTGTTCCCCCGGCTTTGGGAATGAGGACCAACTTCGCCCTCTTCCATGTACAGTGGAAGACCCGTTCGCAATAATGGAAGTCCGCAATAACGTTTAATATCCCCTCCATACGCTCGACGCACGTGAGTGGGGACAGCGTTGAAACGCTATTGCGAGCATCCGTTATTGCGAATGTGTGTATGTGTGTGTACGCGCGCATAGACATACATATATACGCACAAAAGAGATGTAAATCCGACCGGGCAACTTTCATGCATTACACCTTGGGCAATGTTAATACTGGCGGTACTGTAACTTTCAAGTTTTATAACTCGAAAAGTACTTAACAAAAATAAACATTACCATAGTGTTTTGAAAAACTCTTGATACCAGCTATTAGATTTTGGAATAAAAAATAAGATGTTCCATTTAAAAAAATCGATTTGACCTTGAACTTACCTTGGGTACGCCAATCAATGTCAAACTGATAAGACCAGTAAATAGGTCTTTTTAAATCTTACAACTTTTGTTTAAAACATTTTTTTTTAAATTAAATCCCTCTAAATTATTCAGGAGGTTCGGTCTTTTTCTGATATCCTGTATAACACACGTGTTGTATAATATGATCCTACAAGTGTTATGTGGACCAAATCTGGACAACGCCACACTATTTTGATTTATTTTAGGAGAAGTGTTTAACAGAACAACACGCCGAAAAGATGTATTAAATTCTATTTAGACTCATATCTTCTATCTCCAGACAGGAAAAATGAACAAGAAGAATTTGAAGCCGACGAAATCAGGTTTCTCACAGAGTAGTCGCCTCCATGACAGTTTCCGGTACTGCTCCGATACCCGTAGCGAACCAGACAGTCTGACCGTTTGAAATATAAATCAAAGAGAACCGGGATATAGGATATAGTTCCAAGATAAAAGAAAAGGAAATGTAAAATATGGAGCCAACAACGCTGAGAATTCATTTCTTTCCTGTCTCCGTGTATTAGATTGACAACATGATTTTATTTGATAGATGTGGTTACATGTGTATATATAATCCAAAGGTTACATATCATGATCGAGATCGCGCGCTTGTGTAAAAGTTTTTTTGGTCTTACATCGTAGTGTACCATAAGAAAACAAAATATGTATTTTCTTACGTACAATAAAGATTTCTATAGTTAGATAAAGTACATTTGGTCTCCCTCTTGAGTCTAAAGGCCATTCTATAACTGCATAAGCGTAGTCGTAAACTTCCAATTTATTAGAGTGTTTTATTTAATGATTCCTTTATTCTGAATGGTTATCGTAATCACTTACAACTATTTATAACCACGCTTACGCAATTATAGAATGGCCTTAAGACACAATATGTACAAAACTGTGTGTTAAAATCACGTCAACTTTTAGCAAGAGGAACTCTGACATTTTGCAAACAAAACATGAAATTTCGAGATATAGAAAGAACAAAATTGATAAAGTAAGAGAACAACAAGTTTATTATTCTTGTTATTTTAAGTCGCAGAATCTCGAGTCAACTATTTGGAAGTACCCATGTACCCATATGTACAAGTTGTGTAAAAAGTTCCGGCTCGGCGAAATACCTCGAGAAATATACTTGTAGAAAAAAAATATTTGAGACAAAAGTTGTAGAGGTTAAAAATATCTATTTACTCCCTTTATCAGTTTAACTTTTAGTTACATCGCCAAGGTCAAGCGAAGATCACCTGGAATTTTTGTAATTTGGACTCCTTATTTTTTATTGTCGACATTTATATAATATATTTTTGATACTAATGAATATAGGACATATTATTTTTATATTACATTTATGTTTTATATTGCAGTTATGATTTTATGTTACAGTTATGATTTTTGTTATGATTTACGTAATTGTATTACATACGCATTTGTAATATGGATCTTGCCTTCGTTAGCTGGATATCTTATTATAAAAATTTCGATAACTTCGAGACGGCTAACATAACGTGAGTATAATTATAGCATTTTGAAAGAATTTCAAAAACGGTTATAAGAATATGTAATAAAAAAATAAGAAGTTCTACTTAAAAAAATTCAAGGTTACCTTCGCCTAACCTTAGCGACATAACCGAAGATTAAACTGATAAAGAGAGTGAATAGATATTTTTAAGCCGTACAACTTTTATCTCAAATATTTTTTTCTACAACTATATTTTTCGAGGTATTTTGCCGAACCGGAATTTTTTGCAAATCCTGTAAATATATTGAGTATTTTTAGATAGTTGACTCGAGATTCTGCGACTCAAAATAACATGAATAATTAAACGCAAGAGTAAATGTAAAAAAATTACCGGAAGTTTTTACGATTTCACTTTTTTTCTCACTTTTCTTAATTCCCCAAGTTTTCCCTGCTAGTGTCCTAATTTTCATGGTCATTTTCCAATTCTAAGACTCAAAGTACATAAGAATATGTAATATTTTTTCGGTTGAATATCGATTCCCAAAAAAATTCCCAAAAACCTCAAAAAATGCTAAACTCCAAATTTTGCATATCCTCTTTTTACGTGGTTATTTTCAAAATGCCAAAGGTCTTCGCTTATAAATTGCACGTGCTCTACACACATAGTTTTATATATCTTGCATCAGATCTATACCCTGTATATAAAATATGATCCATTAATTCTATTTAACATATAATTATCGATATAGGGAATGATACAGTATCCATGACGTCGTTTATACATGTACCCTAAAACTAAAATTTCTCGAGATGTTCAAATTTTTAATAAGAATGCGTGATACTTAACTTATGCTGCCAATATTGTTTTAGTTAACTTTTAATTTCCTGAGTTAAATCATATTAAAGTAAATGTTTCAAGAAATATTTGTTTTGATATATTTTGAATACTTTTACCTCTTTAATTCAGAATACATTGCTCTATAGAATTCATGTCATAAAAAATCATTTTATTAAAAAAAATAAATAATTTGGTCTTGAAAGAAATCTTCTTTACAACAAAACTCACAACAAAACTGTTGTCATCACGTGATGTATTTCTCAGAAGCATATAATTCTTTCTTTATCATTACTTTTTTTTATTATTTATAATAGCAAAGTTAATTTAAATGGACAGAATTAATGGATCATTCTATAAAAACAATATTGTGCTTAAGATATAAAAAAAAAAGCTTTAATTGATCAGTAATTTCCATAATGACGATATTATATAATAAAAATTGTAATATTTTTCAATCCTAGTTTTCAACTATTTTTTTTATAAGAAACAAAGTTTTAATGCTCATTTACACATAATATTTTATATTAATTTTTATTAATAACAAATTTATGTCTTCATGATATTTTTATCATTTCAAAATTCATATCATATATCTTTATACCTAAATTAACTTTTATTAAACCTTTATTTCTTATTTATCTTATTTGACAAATACGAGACCAAATTTTTACATCAATTCTTACATCTTAAGATATTATTTGCTTAAGACAAATCGAAAAGTATCCCACTTTTTGGAAATTTTTTTTTTAATTACGAAATATTTCAAAATATATTTTTATGTATACAGGGTGTCTTAAAAATATGGGAACCCATTAATATCTTTTTATAGTATGATTTTTCGATAAAATTTTCAAAACAAAAGTTGTAGGATTTCAAAAGCTGAATCTAATGGTGACCTTAAAATTGACCTTGAAGGTCATTTCGAGGTCAGCTTAATTTTTTTTAATGGGAACCCTGACACTTGAGTCAGGATGACCATCGGGGGTCATTTCGAAGTCAGAGCATCCGCTATTGCGCGACCGCTGATGGCATTGACTTATCCCTTAGAGCATTTTGTGTCTACTAGATTTAAATACTGGAAGATTGAATCATTTTTTTCTATTTTCATTCTAAGGTTTTGTTTAAAAATTTCTTTACAGAAAATGATTCTCGAATTTATTTAGATAACTTTAATGCAAATTTCGGAGTGTTCTTTGACTCCATTAAAGATACATCTGATCTCGTAAAAATGACTCTTCCATTTACAAATCCATCATGGCAGACCGCCTCTCTGAGCGCGAAAGAATATGTCTGTTAATGATGCGAGGTTGGGGTAATCGTCAGCGATCTTACCCTCAAGTCCGTCAATTGTTTAATCAAACGTTTCGTAATGCAGATGGTCAGATCCCGATTTCCAAATCTACAGTTAATCGAACTATTCGACGCTTTGCGGAAACCGGCAATGTTAAAAATCGTAGAGATCCTGGACGACCAATCTCTGTGACAAATGACCAGACACAAATAGAAGTTGCTCAATCGTTCGTTGAAAATCAACATCTCAGTCTTCGCGAAGCAGCTGCGCATCTCAAGGTCTCAAAGGATTCAGTTCATAAGATTCTAAAATTCATTAAATTTCACCCGTATAAGATTCGTTTAGTTCAAGAACTGAACGAGGACGATCCTAATCGACGAGACGAGTTTTGCGATCTCATAATGAATCGAATCGATAGAGATCCGACTTTCCTCCATAACATTGTCTTCTCAAATGAGTCTATTTTTACATTAAATGGTGAAGTAAATACACAAAATTATAGATTCTGGTCCGACACTGGATGATAGAACAGCATACACAGTATATACATAAAATTAATGTCTGGGCTGGCATATTAAGCGATACTTTAGTTGGTCCGTTCTTTATTGATGACGACTTAAATGCTGCAAAATATGAAGATATGTTACGAAATAAAATAATCCCGAGGATCAGAGAAATTGCGGGTAATAATTACCATAGAAGGAGGAGGGCATACTAGGTGGCGGCGGGACGCCGTGCGTTCGAGATCTGCGTATCTTTTTCGTTCCAGAAAGAGAAAAATATCGAGAGCGCGGTCCTGCTAGGCCGGGACTCGAACCCGAGTCTTTCGCTTGCCGGGCGACTGCTCTAAACCACTGAGCTACCTGACGCTCCACGCTCGCGACACTCTCATCTTCCTAGATAACGCTCAGAGATGCCGTTCGGAAGCGACATTTCTGGCGCGATCCCGAGCGCACGGCGACTACAGAGAGAAACAATGTTACTGTACCAAATGGTACTAGCTGTCAGTCTCTCAAAGTCAAAGGTTGCTATCCTTTAAGACCTGCTCTCCATGTATGCCGCATTGTCAATCAGTGCAATGGCTTACAGTTTGAACATCTGTTATAAAATATTCCTCACAATGGTCTTCTCGTAACTATCCGAACACGATCTTGCCTTCACCGGCTGGACCGACCGACTTGCCCCCACTGACTGATTTCCAAGTGGTTTTACCTTTATTGGTCATATCACTTACGATCTTGCCTTCACTAACTGGATTATCAAAGTCTTGCCTTCATCGGTTGGACAAAAATGGGGCCCAAAAACTTATCCTGCTACGTCCACGTCGTGGGTCCTGGACCTCGAAAATAGTATTTCGATGACTGAACGCAGGCAATAGTGTCGCTTGCCATCGAAAAACCTCACTATAAAAAGATATTCACGGGTTCCCATATTTTTAAGAAAAATCGTGAAGTTTGAAGGTCATTTTAAGATCAAAGCGAGTATTTTCTGAAAAAATGTTTCAGACAAAAGCTTCTCAGTTTTTGGCGTAGATTCTGAATCCGCCATGAAAATATGCATGTTCCATTTGAAAAAATAAAGTTAACCTTGAAATGGCCTTCAAGGTCAAACTTAAGGTCAATTTTAAGGTCACCATCAGATTCAGCTTTTGAAATCCTACAACTTTTGTTTTGAAAGTTTTATCGAAAAATCTCACTATAAAATGATATTCAGAAGTTCCCACATTTTTAAGATACCCTGTGTAATTATAGACATAAAAACATATGTGAATTTTTATGTTTAAAAATAATGTTTATTGAAAGAGTTATTTTGTAGAACGCAGAACGTGTTAAAGAGGATCTTTATTATTTGCCACGATTAGTTCCACTTGGCTCAACTGAAACAAAAATTGTAAAATAAGTTATGGTCAGTATAAAATTATGTGAATACATACACATAAGGTGACCCAGACTCTCCTGCGCAATTCTTATAGGAACATAGAACGGGTTGAGATAAACGTAAAAATTCTATGCTGTTTGGTGATATTTGCGGTAATAATCGAATAATTAATTGTGAAAGGTTAAGGAAAAGTCTACGCTGTATGGTAGAGAAAGAAGCATTCGAGCCGCAAAGTGACCGAGTAATATAATGCGTTGTTTTTCCACTAGCCACGTGCTCAATACTATTTTTTATACTGGTATTGGTTTTCGGTACTGTTACGGTACTGATTTTCGGTACTGACAATACTATTTTCGGATACTGGCCCTTTTCTATCATCTCAGTATCACGTCAATAATAAAGATGCCGTACTGGCATTTAATATTATGCCAGTAACTTTTACCATAAATCTGTACTGGGCCAGTAGTAAATTCCTACTTGGATTATTGAATAGTTTTTTAAATAAGCATTAGTTTTATAACAAAAATTTACACATGTTTTTCAAATATATACAAAAATTTGGGCAAAAGCATATTTTGAAAAGTTTTATAGTTTCCTTAAAAAGAATTCTTAAAGACTACCTAATTTTTCACCTGTTTTAAACGAATGCTCCTTTATATATTGTTTTAAAAAAACTTTTATCTAATTTGTAGTTATCTGACCAACTTTTATAGATAGATAAGTTAGATAAGTTACTTTTATAGATAAGTTAGACCGCAGCAGGGCTAATATGCGGTGCTGTATTAGCAGGCGAAATAGGACTCCCGTGAACTTCCAAATCGAAGTCAGTTGTAGATAAAGAACTTCTCATCACTCTGTTCCATCTATTGGAACTCTCGTTGGAGACTACATATGTCTGTGCGATCGTTGATTCGTTGACTGCAGGCCTCGCATGAGCTCGTAATGCTTCCTGATGTATAATAATCTCGTTAGTAACATATGCCTCGCGACGTATTTTGTCGCGCAATTTTGGACTTATATCAGGAATGCACCATCGTACAAGGATCATCACGAGTGCCACGACGTTCTAAAAAATATAGAAACAACATTGTAAATCAATATTTATTGTTGAAATAAGTAATATAGAAAGTAAAAATAAATACTCTTTAGTTAGTTAACTCTAATGCTTATTTTACATGAAAAATATAATCAGCATAATTTGATATTCAACCCTGGCCAGTGGTACATACATGATGTCTCAGATCACCTTTACAATCTCTCGTGAGGACGTAGAGCGAATTGAGATGAACACACAGTCTTTATTGTTTTGCAATATTTTCAATAATAACCGAGAAATGAATTATAAAAGATTAAGGAAAAACGCATGCTGAATGGTTGAGAGAGGAACGCTCGCGACTCAGTAATATAGCAGGCGGATGTCAGCTCGTGGCGAGTGGTAGATCAACACGCCACTGCCTATACTTATCTCGCTACGAGCGGTACGGCAAGACGTAGGATCGCAGCGATATATGCATAGACAATAACGCGTTAATCTACCACTCGCCGCGCATTGACATCTGCCTGCTATATTATTGGGTCGCAAACGGTCTTCCTTCAAATATTCAGAGTGCGTTTTTCCTTAATATTTTATAATTAATTTCTTGGTTATTATTGAGAATATCGCAAAACGGTATGGGATTTTTGTGTTCATTTCAATCCACCTTACGCACGCACGCACGCACGCACGCACGCACGCACGCACGCACGTACACACATACACACACACACACACACACATATATATATATATTATATATATACCAGTTATAAAAATCATAATTTTAAAGCAAATAGTCTTATCGATTTCTATCTTAACTTGTTTGAAAGAGAAAAGTTTAGCCTACGTGTAAAAAATAAATGTATTTTTAAATTTAATATTTTCGAAAAAATATAATATATTATATATTGGGAGTTCAAATTAGTTCGGTCCGTTTTCAAAAGATGGCTCTGGCTGTTATGAATGTTTCATAGTGACAGCTGATTTCGGTGGTTTCAGAGAGGTTAGACATCTGTCAATAATATTCAATTTATATCGTTTTGAGTTTCATACAAAACCCCCGTTTTTTACTGTGTTGAATATGTCAAATTTTGTGTTAACTAAGCAGCATTTGCGGGAGGTTTTAGTTTTCTGCTTTAATTGGAAGAAAAGTGCAGCTGAAGCGCATCGAATGCTTGTAGAAGTTTATGGTGACAACGTTCCAACTAATAAATCATGTAGGGAATGGTTTCGACGTTTCAAAAATGGTGATTTCAGCGTTGAAGACAGCTTCGCTCTGGACAGCCAAAAAAATTCGAAGACAAAGAATTGGAGGCTACAACCTGGCGATTCCATTACGGGACATCGGTATAGGCTACAATTGATTCGTTTGAGCCGTGCATTACGAGAAAAATGGTCGGAATACGAGCAAAGACATGACAAAGTTATTCTTCTGCATGATAACGCTTGGCCTCATGTCGCAAAAGTCGTAAAAATATTTGGAAACGCTCAAGTGGGATATTTTACCGCACCTGCCGTATTCACCGGACATTGCTCCTTCTGATTACTGGTTGTTCCGACGGATGCAGCACGATTTGGCAAGTCACCGGTTCACTTCTTTCGCAGAAATCGAAAATTGTCTCCTAACTTGGATCGTCTCAAAAGACGAGACATTTTTTCGAAATGGAATTCGAAAATTGCTGAGAGGTGGGAAAAAGTAGTAGCCAGCGATGGACAATACTTTGATTAATCTGTTCATTCATTTTGTTCTGAAATAAATGCATTTTTGACCACAAAAAAACGAACCGAACTAATTTGTACTCCCAATAGTTAGTTAAATTTGTTAAAAAATTTAATTTTTTTGTTAATGAAGAATAGCTTTATCATTGTCAAAGTCATAAAATTATTTATCTTTGTCAAAGTCATAAAATTACTTATCTTTGTCAAAATCATAAAATTATTGCAAATTATAAACTTAAATTTTTATTTAATTAAAGAAAACAAAAAAAAAATACAAAATGATTAGAATTTTATTGTGATAAAGACATATAATAGTTCGTATATACCTAATGAGTAAAAAGTCCCGGACCGGTGAAATATTTCGAAAACTAAGCATTTTCGAAAGAAATGTTTTCTACAAAAGTTGAAGAGTTTTAAATAATCTTTTTACTGATCTGGTCAATCTAACCGTGAGTGGCGTCGCCAAGGTCAGGTCAAGATTACATCGATTTTTTTTAAATAGCACACGCTATTTCTGCTTCCAGAATCTAATAGCTGGTGCCAAGAGCTTTTCAAAATGCTACAATAAAGTTATTTCTTATAAAGTCCTTTTTGAGTTACGAGATTTGAATGTTACAGCACCACTGGTATTTCTCTGTGCTTAGCATTACTCACGATGAATGAGATGGACGTGGCGGGGCCCTCATCCCTTTCGCGTGCTAGATTTACGTGAGTTCTCTTGCCTCTCATGTTTAGGATGCTTGATTTACATGAGTCCCCTTGCCTCTCACATTTAAGGTGCTTGATTCACGTGAGTCCCCTTGCCTCTTACGTTTGGGGTGCATGTGTATGCGTGCACGCGCGCGTGAGATCTAATTTCAAAATCAACAATTATAGGAACGATTCAATATTTTACTGAAAGATAACATGAAAAATTGCCCGCGTAGTGGCTCAAAAATCATAGATTGCATTCCTATAAAATGCATTATGTGCAAGAGTTGATAATGATTATATTAGATGTTCGAATTGCCTTCTTCCCATCGCTTGACTGTATACTGGCCTTAATTGAAAAGAATATCTGACATTTCTCAACATATCAACAGTTATTAAACTCATTTCGTCAGTTATTCTCTGCTTCAATTCTTCCACACTCGTAGGTTTATTTTATAAACGCGTTGTTTTAAGAATCCCCATAAAAAGAAATCAAGTGGTGTCAGATCGGGGGATCTTGGAGGCCACTCAATTGTTCCACGCCTCCCAATCCATCTGTTCGGGAAAGTACCATCCAATAACCTTCGTACTCTTAATCCGAAATGCGCTGGAGCTCCATCTTGCCGGAACCACACGCGATCAAAATCGTTAGGAAAGAGATTTCGAATAGCAGGAATAATTTGCTCAATTAACATTGTTTTGTACATCTCAGAATTGAAATTTCCATCGATGAAAAATGGACCTATTAAATGATCTCCAATTATTTCTGCTCAAACGTTGACTTTATCAGGATATTGAGATTTGTTATCTCCCATCCAATGTGGATTTTGGTTGCTCCAATATCGGAAATTGTGACGATTAACATTTCCATAAAGTTCGAAACTAGATTCATCAGAAAAGAAAATGTTATTTACGAAATCATTTCCGCGTATCCCAATAAATTCACAAAATTCCATTCTCCGGTTAAAATCTTCATGAACTAACTCTTGCACATAAAGCATCTTATAGGTATGAAATCTGTGCTTTTTTTAAATAGTACACATCGACGATTGACTGACTTCGTTTACTGTAGCAACTTTTCTAGTAAACTTATTAGGCATTTCGATAAAGCTTTGCAAAATATTTGCACTTTTTTCATCATTGGAGGTAGATGTAGGTCGTCCACTGCGCGAGCGATCTTTCACGCTACCTATTTCAATGAAACTCTGACTTGTTCTTACAATTGTCGATTTTGAAATTGAATTTCGCGCATTAAAAGTTGAATTGAAAAGATCACATGTCTTTTGATATGATCTTCCTTTATCTTCGTATCCTTTCATTATCCTTTTTCCGACAACATAGCCATCGTAGGAAAATTTTACAAAAGCTTGAAAGAAAAAGAGTCCTTAAGCGTGGAACTCAAGTACACTGTTAAAGATATCAGGTTGTAGACGGAGCAGTATAACTAACAATGTGTTGCCGATGCTCGCTAGCATATCCCCCACAACAGCTGACGGCACTTGCGTATCCCAACCAATCCTTACGCTGTTAGCATGATGTTCCATTTGCAATGTAGCATCTTTGCCTACCGCACTGTGGCGATAGGCGGTAGACCATGTGGTAGATAACTGGTCATATCAAGAGATATAATTTTTTAAATGAAATTTTAACGTGCAAAATTCAACTTTTAAAACCATCCACGCACTGTGTAATGTTAATGTCAGTGGTGCTGTAATTTTCAAGTCTCATAACTCGAAAAGTACTTTATAAAAAATAACTTTATTGTAGTATTTTGAAAAGCTATTGACACTAGCTATTAAATTCTGGAAGCAAAAATAAGGTGTGCCATTTAAAAAAATCGATGTAACCTTGACTTGACCTTGGCCACGCCACGCAAGGTCAGACTGACCAGATCAGTGAATAGATCATTTAAAACCCTACAACTTTTATAGGAAATATTTCTTTCGGAAATGTTTAGTTTTCGAGATATTTTACCGGTCCGGAACCTTTTACTCACTGTATAATCAAATATGCACAATCTGTAGTTCGTTATATTTAAGATATTCTACAGTTCCAAATGTAATGTAGGTTAATTAATCGTATATATATGATTGTGTGTGCACATTTTTCAATGGAATAGTGCGTATATGAATAAATAGTCAATGAAATAGTGTGAATATGAATAAATAATTATAGTATTTGTAGTATTGTATGACGATGTATATGTATATATATTGCTTGAGAAAATTATGGCAGAAAAATTTGGTTAAAAAATTGGCCAACTTTGACTGACGATAACTCCTCGAAAAATCAACATACGATCATGATTTTGTTTTTAAATTAAACCTTGAAACTTCTACTTTTAGACACTATGACTCAATTTTAAGTTTAATGCATTCCTACCATTGTAAAAGCTTAAATTTAAGGGCATGTTTATCCTATTGAAAATTCCCAGGTAGCAAAGTGACGTCTAAAGACGTCATTAAGACGTTATTAAGACGTCTATGACGTTTTAATGACGTCTTTAGACGTCACCTTGCTACCTGGGTTGTAACGTTTGACGGAATGCATGGATTTACTAAAATTTTTTTCGGGGATGTTGTTTGCAGCGACATAAAGTTCGAAACTTGTCCTTTAATTTG